TTGGAGGACCCCGTGTGTCAGGGCCTCAGCAGGGCCCACAGTGGGTGGGTGTGCAGTGTTATAGGGCATCCTAGCTGTGCCCTAGAAGCCCAGAGAGAAAGAGCACCAAGACCTATCCAGGACCCCGGGGCCACCCAGACTGCTCTGCACACTTTGGAAGCCACACTGGAGATGCCGGACACACCAGGGACCTGGGGGATGGGTCAGCCCTTGGGCTGTGCTGACACCAGCCTCTGCCACTGGGGGTCCATGGATCTCCTGCCTCTCACTGTAGGGCTCTGGCCTTTGCCAGGCTCTCAGGATGGGTCCTGGTGGGACCTGTCCCCTCCTTGATGTCCCTGAGGCTCAGCCTCAGCTTGGACCACCTTTAGCAGGGCAGGGCCTGCCTGGTCTGCACAGCAGGCTCCCTCCTATGTCTGCTGGGGGGGGGGGCTCAGCCCTGATCAGAGTCACAGGCCACCAGGACAAGAGAGCCAGATATGGGCAGGAGCTTCCCTGGGCAAGGGGTCCCTGGGGCACTTACCCCATCCAGGAAGCCCTGGATGCACCAGTGCACGGTGTAGTCCTCCAGGTACACACCCTTCTTCTCCTAAGAAGAGGCAGAGGGGGCTCAGGGCCCAGGGCCCAGGGCTCAGGCCTGACTCCCTCTAATCTGTGCCCTGTGGCAGAGCCCCTGGGTGCAGGAAGCCCAGCAGCAGGTGCATCCCCTCTCCCAGCCATGCAGATTCCTGAAGGGACACAGGTCCCTCAGTCCACTCTGCCCTGGGGACAGCGTTTCCCTTCAATCTACGCAAACTCTGGGGGACCAAGTGCAGGAAATCAAACCAGCACCCAAGCTGCCGCAGTCTCCAGTAACCAAGAAAAGCCTTGGTGAGGATGTAGCCTCCCCTGGCCCAGGAAGCAGTCAGGACCCCTCTCTGTCCTCCCCTCCCTGAGCACAGAGCCCCCGAGAGGAGAAAGGAGATGTTTACTTACCAGGTGTTTCTCCAGGGAGGGGAGCACGCGATGATATCTCTCAGGTGTTGCTTGATCACCCTCCAGTTTTGGGGTCTGGTGTGTTAGAAAATCTGAGTAATAGCAACCCCCCCAGCCCTCATTCAGGGTGGTAGTTCCCAAGAAAGCTGGAGAGCCAAAGGCTTGGGGTGGGGTCTTTGAACATGGAGGGTCAGGGGAGGCTCTAACAGGCAGGGGAGCATCAGGGAAGGGGGGTACAGCTGACAGCCCAGGGCAGTGTGCCTTAGTTGACTGCTGGGCTGACTGCAGTCACACTGGGTGCCTAAGGGCCATCTGGTCACTTGAGGTGTGGAGGGGTCACCATAGAATGGATGCTCCTTCTGCAGGTTGTGTGGCTCACTGGGTGGAAGTCTCGGTAGAGAGATGTAAAGCAGTAAGGCCAGTACGGACCTAAGGGTCATTTGTCAAAGACAAGGCACAGGACCTTTGTGTGATGGGACAGTGAGGGGTATGGCTTGGTATTGGGCCCTCTGCCGGCCCTGGCTTCTAAGGAAGTATTCTGAGGAGACTGCCCATAGCACGCAGGCAGCCAGCGAGGGACAATGTTCCCAGTCAATTGTCTGCAATGCCCATCCCTGCACTTGCACGGACCACTCCCACCACAACCATCACCCACCATGCATCGAGTGCTGGCTGTCCCCATGAGCTGGACTAGGGCCCAGAAAGCATCCTCTTCACTCAGCCACATCAGCAGCAGGGCTGCACGTGGCTTAGGCCTTGGCTGTAGCCCAATTCCTGGAAGAACACAAAACACATCAGCAGGGACCTCCCTGGCTGGGATGATCTCACATGGCAAGGTGACCTCTCCTGGGAGGGCCTGAGCGTTACTACCAGGCCCCACTGCTGCCGCTTGGGTTGTCCGGATCTCAGGGACTGGAGCACAAGCCAGCTCTCAAAGTTCTGGAGCGACTCCTGCAGGGTCTGAGCGCAGGCTGTGCAGGTTAAGAAGAGGTATGAGCCCCACCCCAGATGTCAGGAAGGGGAAGACTGTTGTGGGAGTGCAGACTGCACACCCGTGATGGCCTCTGGAGCTCTCTGCTGCACAGGTGCCCTGCTGGGCCCCACTGCAGACGTGAGGAAGAAGAACCATAGTAAGGCCTGCCTGGGCCAGAACAGAGCCCAGCCCAGGAGAAGGCTTCCGTTCTGCCCCCAGAATTGAGGTTGGGGCCAAGGAGGCCATGAGCCTGAACTCTACCCCTCAGTCTCTGCCTTGTGGATTAGAGAGGCCCCCTCAACACAGGCTGGGATCTCTGTGACCAAGGGTGCCCTGCAGGGACTGCAGGGATAGCACCTGCGATATGATACCAGAATATTCACGGGGTTGTACATCGAATATGTGAGGAGCACCTCGAATAAGGAGCGTTGTCTGGAAGAGAAAGGACAGAGGCTATCCGTGTGGCTCTGCCTAACACAGCCTGACAGCTACACGCAGGGCCCGTGATACTCTGCTCATGAGCAGTGACATCATCAGGGCACCTGCATGTTGTCCACCGTGTGGGTGAGTGCTGCCTGCAGGGACACCAACATCTCCCAGGGTGCAGTCATGTGCAGTTTCATTTCCCCAGGTGGGAGTTCATTGCACAGGTGAGCGTTCCACTGTGGGAGGTGCAGTCCCGTGGTCTAAGCTGTGGAGAGTCAGCCTCCCATGCACGTTCAGCTGGTAGGGAGCAGCTCCTGTGGCCTATGTGTTCCCCATGAGCCTCTGTGGCCAAACTCCCCACCTCCCCCAGCCCGTGGCCACCACTGCCCTGTTGTGTGTCCCAGGGTTTGGCCTCTTGCAGATGTCCTGTGAGTGGATCATAGCAGGTGTAGCCTTTGAGGGACGCATCCTCTCTTAGCAGAATGCACCTGAGATGCATCCAGGTGAGCCCAGGGCCGAGTCTCGTCCTGCTTCTCACTGAATCCCATTCTCGGATTCAGCTGTGACATGGGTTGCTTATCCGTGTCCCCACTGAGCATCATGCAGGCTAGTCCTGCGTCCAGTGACTGTGAACACAACCCTGAATCCTGGGTGAGGGTTTTCTGTGCACTCAGCTGTTCTGGTGGTTGTGTACATGTGCGTGTGTGCTGGGGGTTCGTGTGGAATGTGTGTGTTTCTCATTGTGAGAAATGGCCCTGGGTGCTGCCGGTGGCCTGGGCGCTGTGCTCTGTTCCTGCAATGAACCAGAGTGGTGCTCACCTCACATTGTCCCCAGCACCCGGGGTCCTCAGTGGTCTTAGTTCCCCCATTCTCACAGCTGTGCACTGGTGCCCCGTTGTGCTTTAGGTGCTAAGTGTGTGTTCATGCGTTGAGTAGAATTGTGTGTGCCATCATGCAGGGGCCCTCCTGAGCCTTGGCCCGTGTCAGGGCAGGGAACCCTGATTTGCTTTCTTGTTATTTAGATTTACAAACTTCATTTTATATATTTTGTAAATACTGTCTCCCCTTGTGTTCCTTTTCATTTCATTCCCACCAAAGTGTCTTTGGGAAAGCAAACTGTTCAGTATAAATAGAAGGCCATGGATCCATTTTTTTCTGTCCTAGAGCAATTACGCTTTAGGTTTGAGCCCAAGTCTCTCCTAGGACCCCATGTGTACCAGGACCCTTGTACCTCCCTCCCCCGGGACCCCTGCAGCCCAGAGGCCTCACTTGGCTCTGTATCTCTCTCGAAACATGATGTGATTTCTGAACGTGCGTGCTACCTCTTCATCGATCTGTTGGACTTGATCTGAGCACAACCTGGCCCGTTCCTTCATCTCCTGCAGGGCAGGGCCGAGGGGGAGGGGCCAGCCTCAGGACGAGCCAACCCCCACTGTCACACAAGCACCCCAAAGCCACATCAGCTCTTCTGGTTGGCAGGGAGAGTTTTTCTGGGGGCAGCTCACTCCCCTGATCCAGGGAGGGTCAGGGGTTCCCCACTCACCTTAGGGCCCACGCCACCCCCAGTGCCCAGCAGAGGGGCCACTGCGGACCCGCTACAGTCAGCCTGAGGCCAGGGGCTCTGCCAATGTCCTTCTGTGCTACCTCTGCCTTCCCAGAGCAGGAGAGACTGAATCAGGCCTCCGAGCCTCCTCACTGGGCTCTCAGGCCCCACAGGACAGGAGTCAGCCTCACCCTGACCAGCCTTCAGGGCTGCCCCCTGCAGGAGAGCCCCAGCTCCATCAAGAGAGTGGACACCCTTCTTGGACTTGGAGCTGGCCCCAGGGGCAGCCCCCACTTGAAGACTTGGGGGAGGGCGGGGCTGGCGGCTCAGTTGCTCCTTGCTCCCTGATGTCAGCCAGGGAGGTGACAGTCAGCCCGGGGCCAGCCCTCTGATGGATCAGCCCTCATTCCCAGAAGCAGTTGAGAGCTGACTCTGACCGATGGAACCAGCAGGCCAGGTGGGGGCTGGGTGAGCTGAGGCCAGGCCAGGCATGAGAAGGCCCAGGTGAGGGCAGGGCCCGGTGAGCATAAGAAACACGCAAGCAGGTGTGGGGAGGGCCGTTAGGGACAGAGCCAGCTGAGGGCCCTAGCTCACAGGACTTCCACCTCATTCCAGGCCTTCTCTATGCATTCAGAACCCAGCACAATGGCACTGGGCAGTCCTGGGCCTAGAGGCAAGGTGGAACCACAGGGATGAGGGCTGTGGCCCTGACCGGATCCTTGTGTCCAGGCCCATTTGTGTGTGGGGAGACATGGAGGAGGCCTCTGGGGAGACCTGGATGAGGCAGAGGGGAGGGCCGGGTGGGGGCCCCAACCGAATGACCACTCCTCCTTGGCATTACTTGTCCACCACGCGGGAGCCTCGGGCTCCTGACCAGGCCTGAGCAGGTCGGGCTGCCTCGGGTTGCGTGCAGAGCCATACCTCGAATTTGCCAGGGTTCTGGGCCTTCCTGGTATCCACGGAGAGCATCATGGCCCACACCTTGCCGCGCACCTGGGCGGGGATGCCTTTCTCAATTCTCCGGTGGAACTACAGGAGAGAGGAGGCTCTGGTGAGACCCGCCCCAGGCCCTCTGTTGGGGGGGAGCGTAGGGTGAGACAGCAGGAAGGGGAGCCCTGGGCTCTGTGCTGTGTCCCCAGATCTGCCTGGACCTGGGCCTCCTGACCCAACAGTGAGAGGAGGGCCGAGGGCTCAGTGCAGTCTCTGTGGTGCACTCACTGCCCACACAGGGCACCAGGAACTGTGCCTGCCCTGCATCTGGGAGTGGCCCCAGGGGAGACTTTGGATCTTCTACTGCGACAGTGTCCTGGGTGTAAGGGCATTGGGCTGAGATGACCTGTGTCCTTTCAGGGCAGGACAGTTGTGTCTGAGAGGCACAGCGATGGGCACCATCCATTGTAGCTCCGCCCCCAGTGGTCCCCAGGGGCCCTCAGGTCCAGGCACCTTCTCACTGCTGTGGTACTTGGTGAAATTTCGCAGCATCTTGTTCCATTTTTGCAGTCGGCGGCCCTCCTGATGTTTACGCTGGGAATGGAGACAGGATGGCGTGAGCCCAGCAGTGTCCTCTGGAGAGGCCACGGGTGCAGCTCAGGAGCCTGTGGAGAACTCAGCTGGGAGGAGCCAGCAAAGGGGAAGACCACAGCACCCAGACCTTCCAACTAGGGGAGCCTCAGGGGCTTGGGCTCTGCCTACAGGACAAGCCATCCTCAAGCCAGTCCCATCTCATCCAGCAAGTGGGCCATAGTGGCCCACAGGCGGGGACTCCAGAGCTGCAGGCCTACACTGGGGCATGTGGGCCTCAACAGATCTCCTGGGGACTGCTGTCCCTGGAGGACCATATGGCACTCCCCTAACCACTGCCCATACCCACAGGCCTGCTAGTTCTGCCTCCTAGTTGAAGAGTCCATGGCCAAGGTCAGCTTACCCCTTGCATTGCCAGGCATCCAGGCCTGGGTGGCTTCTGCTTACTGAAAGGCAAGAGAGACAACACCATGAGAATGGGCACTGAACCTCGCACGGTCCACTTCCCAGCAAGGCTGGGACAGGACCTGTGTCCTCCTCACCCTGCTGAGGCACAGCCCAGGGGACAGAGAAGGGCAGGGAGGGGGCAGCCATGCTGCAGGCAGACACCCAGCAGGGGCTGGACCGTGAGCACAGGGAGCCCAGGGCCAGGCAGGAGCCCTTGCTGCCAGTGCTGCGAGTGTGCAGCTGGGGCTCAAGGCACCTGGGACCACCACACCCCCAGGGTCCCCTGCACCCACCCTCCCCACCATGTACTGGCCACCTGAGTTGCCTGATTCCCACCTCACCCTCCTCTGTCAGCCCGAACTGTGGCCATCTCTCCACCACTCGGCTCCTGCTTTTTCTCCAGGTTCTGGCACAACATGGAGGCAGAAACCCCTATCCCCGAGCTAAGTTGGGCTACTGAGTCACGCCAGAGATGGCCTGAGACGGATCCATGCCTCTAGGTCACCGGAGCCCACCTTCCAGCCACGGGGCCTCTCTCTCTGACATCTGTGGGAACAGCCTCCAAGTCTGCCTCCTGCCCCCAGGCCCACTCCTCCCAGCATAGACCCAGGGGCCGGGCCCTCCGCTGCAAACCCCTCTGCCCCGGTCTGTACTGGGGAAGTTTGCAGGCAGGTTCGGAGCCTTGAGGTCACACCCCTGGCCGTCCCTCAGGCCAGTTCTTTAAGCCTTTAGCTTGGCTCCTGAGACCCAAGTACCTCCTGGACAACTGCCCACCTTCTAGGATGGTGCTCCAACCCTGTGGACATAGCTCTGGAATGCTGATGGCCTGGTTGTGTCCCCTAGGAGCAGGGCAGGACCCTCAAGCCACCCCCTCTACTTAGCATGAACAGAGGCCTCAGAAGCAGAGTGCCCCGTGTTTGCCCCATGTCCAGCTCTGTCCCTGCCTACAGTTTTGTTTTTTTTTTTTTTTTGACAGGCAGAGTGGACAGTGAGAGAGAGAGACAGAGAGAAAGGTCTTCCTTTTGCCGTTGGTTCACCCTCCAATGGCCGCCATGGCTGGCACACCGCGCTGATCCGATGGCAGGAGCCAGGTGCTTCTCCTGGTCTCCCATGGGGTGCAGGGACCAAGGACTTGGGCCATCCTCCACTGCACTCCCTGGCCACAGCAGAGAGCTGGCCTGGAAGAGGGGCAACCAGGACAGAATCCGGTGCCCCGACTAGGACTAGAACCCAGTGTGCCGGCACCGCAAGGCAGAGGATTAGCCTAGTGAGCCGTGGCACCAGCCCCTGCCTTCAGTTTTGATTCACTCACTGGGTCATCACCTCTGGCCACACGCTGACCAGTGCCTGTACTGTGACAACAGATTGGATCAAGGAGGGGGCCTGGGGACAGGTGTGCTACCTAATGGCAGGGTTTCTGACCCTGGTCCCTCCCCTGGGTGTATCATAGTGCAATGGACTCACTGCAGGAATCTAAGTTTGTCTGGGACGAGCGCTCCACTCTCATCATCCTCTTCTCCCAGATGAAACTGGGCCTCTTTATGGGGACCCTGCAGGGAGAGTGGACCCAGGTGAGAAGCCTGGGTCTCAGTCACTGGGGGACCTGAGCCACCCTCCCCATGTCCCCAGGGAGGCAGGGTCTGGCTCTCACAGGCACAGTGCTTGAGACAGGGCCCCACCTCCTCCCCCAGCACCCTGGCCCGTACCTGCTCATGTTTCGTGATGATCGCTGCTTGCTCCTGGCCCCTGCCGGACCTCAGGGTGTCCATATCCAATCTGTAAGACACACACACTTGTGCGCTAGCACAGGGAGCCCACGGGAACTGCTGCCCTGAGGGCTGTCCCCCTGGTCAGAGGGGGGACAGTCACACAGCCAGGTGGGCGGGTACCTGGTGGTCGGGTCCCAGGAGGATGACTTGTCCAGAGCACAGGGACTAGGGATGGTTGGGGAAGGACAGCCCCCACATTGTCTCCCCTGCCCTCAGAAAGGATGCTCCTCCCCCAGCCTGGCATCCATGTGTACTCCAGGGAGCCCAAGTCTAAGGGTCTCCCTGGCCTGCTCCCAACCCCCGCATCTCTAGGCCTCTCAGAGGTGGACTCACTGCCCCACCTAACACCAGCTGATCTGACACAGACTCACACCAAGGCCCATTCGACACTGATGCCCAGCACAGCGGGAGGAATGAGATGACTGTATACACGTTTTGCACACAGGGGCCCACTGAGAGCTCAGTCACATCACTCATGGAACCTGGCATGGGAGACCAGTGCCACCCACCTGGCGTGACCTTCCCCACATCACAGCTCATGCAGAGAACAAGTCCCACGCACCTCCATCGAGAATCCATTCAATTCTATCAAATGTGCCTCCTGCCTACGCTACCAACAGCTGGTCAGTTGGGCAGTAGATGCACTACTGACCACTGGTTGCCGACAACCCAGAGTGCACAGTTCTCACTGACTGTGACATAATGGGGCTGCCAGCCAATCCCAAGTGATGCACAGCTGTGGCATGGGTCAGGGTCCTCATATCGGCTTCATCAAAAGTCACCAAAAATGGAGCCTGTGTTCTCCCTAGGCCCGAGGTGAAGAGGGCAGGGCTCTGGCAGAACTGCCCCAGAACCAGGGGTGCCAGGGCCTTCTGCCGCCTGCCATAACGGTCCCAAGTCCCAGGCAACCTGCACCTTCTGCCCCTCCTTTATTCCTCTGCAATGTTATTGCAGCACAACTGTGAAGGTCTCTATTTGAACACTAGGTGGCACAGCGAGCCTCACATAGACCTGTTCCCACACTCGGGGGCTGCCCCTGCAATGACCTGAATGGAGACTCCCAGGGCTGCAGCCTCCTGTCCTACCACAGGCCCCACCCCAGCACTGCCAACCCCTGCTGACACCCCCTGCTCTGTTCCAGCCCCTCTTCCCAGGAGTTGTAGGAGGTGGACACAGGGGGTCCTCCTGGGATGGAGGGCAGGGAAGCCACCCGCTGAGCACCACCTGCATAGGACCTCAAGCCAGTGTGGCCTACTGTCCAGAGCAGGAGCCAGGGCCCTGTCCTGACACTGACCAGGGCTTCAGGCACAGAGCGCTGAGAACTCCTGGGCACCAGCTCCTGAGCCGCATGCTGGTAACACCTGGCTGTCTTCTACTGTGGGGTGCGCATGTATTTCTCTATGCATCATACATGTGTGCCCAAGATGGGTGTGTTCCAGGCCTCCCCTGGGACTAGAAGCTCCGTGCCTGAAGCACCCGGTCCTTGTCACTGTCACCTCATGGCATGCAGGCTACCCCTCATGGCATGCAGGCCCTCAACTCCACACTGAATGTATGAGAATGCCATGTTTTTCAATTTATTGGTATTTATTTGCATTCTACTGTTTGCCAGCAAGTCTGCAGGGCAGGGAGACTAAAGAGAAACTGCCCATGTCCGTGACCTTCAGGTGATGAGGCGAGCAAGGTTGCTGTGAGGACTAGAAAGAAACTGACAGGCAAGACAATGCCATGGCCGCGTGGCTTTAAGGGGTGCAGGGAGGCCTCCTGCCCCCGTGTCTGGGGAGAAGTTTCTCCAGGGGTTGGTGAGTGCTGCGTCAAGGTAGGGCAGGACAGCAGAGGGGAACACTTGGGTGGGTTCCTGGGCACAAGAGGGGCCCCTTGCAATGAGGAAGTGGAACAGAGAGTGCTGTGGTGCATGTGCAGGGGATGGGGACGCTGGACTCTGTGGTACCGGGCAGGCTGCAGATGAGACTTGGGTTGTCACTGCCCTGACCATGATGGGGTGAGCAGGAGAGGCTGTCCTGGGGCCTGAGACAGGGCAGGGAGGGGCTGGAGACAGGTGTATCTTTTTTTCCTTATCCACCTCCAGGGTCCTGACAGAGGAGGAGATGGCCAACAGGTGGGATCGTCACCTGACAGTAGGGGACAGAAGCCACGTTGCAGAGGTGAGTTCATCCCTCCCCCCGGGCGTCCTCCATGCTGGGCCAGGTTGGCAGGGGCTGTGCAGCCAGCTGCCTTGTCACCCAGAGCAGGATTCATCCAGGAGCCTCCTAAACCCATCAGCCTGGGGCCATCGTCTCAGCCTCACCAGTGAGTACTGTACTGAGGGCAACAGGAGTTCTTGAAGGAGTGTAGATTCCTGCCTTACCATGGGGCTGTGCCCACTGCAAGCCCACCTCCACTGTACCAAAGCAGCCCAGCAAGGCTTGGTGGGAAAATGGGGGGACACTTGGTGCCATCTCAGTGTAGCCTGCATGCCATGAGGTGACAGTGACAAGGACCGGGTACTTCAGGCGTGGAGCTTCTAGTCCTGGGGGAGGCCTGGAGCACACCCATCTTGGGCACACATGTGTGATGCACACAGAGAAATACATGCACACCCCACAGTAGAAGACAGCTCCCCCTCCCCGGAGTAGGCAGTGAGGATGCAGCAGGAAGGCAGCCTAAGCTGGAACCCTTGAGGCTGGGCCAACCCTGCTGGGGTCCCTGGGCTCTGCAGAGCCTGTGGTGACCATGAGCAGCCCAGGGGCTGGAAGGGCTGAGCTGCTGCTGGCAGTGACCCCTGCATCCCTCAGGGGTGTGTGTCCCGGAGAACAGCACCCCGGGTAGCTGCGGGCCTGTGACTGTTCCTGCCCGATGTGTGCTGTCCCTGTCCTTATGGTCAGCAGCAGCTTGGTGTTACCAGCATGCGGCTCAGGAGCTGGTGCCCAGGAGTTCTCAGCGCTCTGTGCCTGAAGCCCTGGTCAGTGTCAGGACAGGGCCCTGGCTCCTGCTCTGGAAAGTCTGGGCCACACCGGCTTGAGGTCCTATGCAGGTGGTGCTCAGCGGGTGGCTTCCCTGCCCTCCATCCCAGGAGGACCCCCTGTGTCCACCTCCTACAACTCCTGGGAAGAGGGGCTGGAACAGAGCAGGGGGTATCAGCAGGGGTTGGCAGTGCTGGGGTGGGGCCTGTGGTAGGACAGGAGGCTGCAGCCCTGGGAGTCTCCATTCAGGTCATTGCAGGGGCAGCCCCGAGTGTGGGGACCTCAGGAAGAAGGACTGGCCATGATGGGGCTCCCTGTGCCACCTTGTGTTCATAGAAAAAGGCCTTCACAGTTGGGCTGTAATAAAATGGCAGAGGAAGAAAGGAGGGGCAGGAAGTGCAGGTTGCCTGGGACTTGGGACCGTTACGGCAGGTGGCAGAGGGCCCTGGCACCTCTGGTTCTGGGGCAGTTCTGCCAGAGCCCTGCCCTCTTCACCTGGGCCCTGGGGAGAACACAGGCCCCACTTCTGGTGACCTTTAATGAAGCCAGGGCTGAGGACCCTGACCCATGCCACAACAGAGCCACTTGGGATTGACTGGCCGGCTTCTGTGATGTTACGGTCACTGAGGATGCGCACTCTGGGCTGGGAGGCGACTAGTGTCCAGTAGTGCATCTACTGCCCAACTGACCAGCTGTTGGTAGCGTAGGCAGGAGGCACATTTGATAGAATTGAATGGATTCTCGACGGATGTGAGTGGGACTGGATCTCCGCATGACCTGTGATGCGGGGAAGGTCACGCCAGGTGGGTGGCACTGGTCTCCCATGCCAGGTTCCATGAGTGATGTGGCTGAGCTCTCAGTGGGCCCCTGTGTGCAAAGCATGTATACAGTCGTCCCATTCCTCCCGCTGTGCTGGGCATCAGTGTCGAATGGGCCTTGGTGTGATTCTGTGTCAGACACGGGTTCAAGACTAGGTGTCAGATCAGCTGGTATTAGGTGGGGCAGTGAGTCCACCTCTGAGAGCCCCAGAGATGCGGGGACTGGGAGCGGGCCAGGGAGACCCTTAGACTTGGACTCCCTGGAGTACACATGGATGCCAGGCTGGGGGAGGAGCATCCTTTCTGAGGGCAGGGGAGACAATGTGGGGGCTGTCCTTCCCCAACCATCCCTAGTCCCTGTGCTCTGCATAAGTCATCCTCCTGGGACCCAGCTGACCAGGGGGACAGCCCTCAGGGCAGCAGTTCCCGAGGGCTCCCTGTGCTGGCTCACATGTGCATGTGTGTATTACAGATTGGATATGGACACCTTGAGGTCCGGCAGAGCCCCGGAGCGAGCAGTGATCATCATGAAGTATGAGAAGGTATCGGCCTGGGTGCTGGGGGAGGATGTGGGACCCTGCCTCAAGTACTGTGCCTGTGAGAGCCAGACCCCACCTCCCTGGGGACAAGGGGAGAGGGGGCAGGCTGCTCAGGTCCCCCAGTGACTGACACCCGGGCTTCTCATCTGGGTCCCCTCTCGGCTGCAGGGACACCAAGGAGCGGCACTGTTGGAGCCTGAAGAAGAGGACAATGAAGGCGGCTGAATTGTCCCAGACAGGCTTCGGTTCCTGCAGTGAGTCCTCCACACCCCAGCCCACCCCAAGGCAGGGACTGGGGTCAGAAACCCCAACATGAGGTGCCACACCTGTCCCCAGGCCCCCATCTTGAGCCCAGCTGTGGTCACAGGCAGGCACTGGTCAGCAGTTAGCCAGAGCCTAGTGTCCCTGTGACTGAGGACTACAGGCAGGGACAGAGCTGGACGTGGGGCAACCACTGGGTACTCTTACTCTGAGGTCTCTGTTTCTGTTAAGTAGAGGGGGTGGTTTCAGGGTCCCCATGCTCCCAGGCAACACAGCCTGGCCATCAGCATTCCAGAGCTGCGGCCACAGGGTTGGGGCACCAGCCTGGCATCTGGCAGTTGTCCAGGAGGTGCCTGGGTCTAGGGTCCAGGCTCAAGGCTTTTGAAGACCTAGTCTGAGGGATGGCCAGGGGTGTGGTCTCTGAGGCTCTGAACCTGCTTGTGGGTTCTCATAGTACAGACCACAGGGAGGCTGCAGCTGAGGGCCCTGCCCCCGGGTCTGTGCTTGGAGGAGTGGGGCCTGGGGGCAGGAGGCAGACTTGGAGGCTGTTCCCACAGTTGTCGGGGAGAGAGGCCCCATGGCTGGCAGGTGGGCTCCAGTGACCTAGGGGGATGGAGCCATCTCGGGCCATCTTTGGCATGACTCAGCAGCCCACCTTAGCATGAGGATAGGGGTTTCTGGCTCATGCTGTGCCAGAACTTGGAGAATAACAGGAGCAGAGTGGTGGAGAGATGGCCACAGTCTGGGCTGACAGAGGAGGGGTAGGTGTGGAGCCAGCACCTCAGGCTGCCAGTGCACAGGGGAGGGGGGGGCAGGGGGGAACCCTGGGAGTTGTGGTGGTCCCAGGTGCCTGGAGCCCCAGGTGCACACTCACAGCACTGAGCATCTCTCAGGCAGGCCACCTGGACTCAGTTCCAGGGTGACTTCTTGGGGAGAGTTGATGTGGGGACACTGCTCCCTCCCCCCCGGGCAGCCTGGCCCTGCTCAGGACAGCAACCCCCCAACCGCTGTGGGGGTGCTGCCACACACCCAGGAAGGTGGACCTCTGACAGGCCTGGAGACCCCCACTGGCAGCAAGGGCCCCTGCCTGGCCCTGGGCTCCCTGTGCTCATGGTCACCAGCCCCTCCCTTCCCGTCTCAGTCCCCTAGGCTGAGAAGTTGAGGCTGGTACTTCCCTGGCCCATTAGGGAGGTAGAGGTGCTGGTTGTGGTCCTGTCCTCACCTCTCCACCTCCCTTGCTTTCCAGTGAGCAGAAGTTGCCCCAAGACAGCACCCTGGGGGCAAAGGTAAGGACAAGTCCTTGACCATGGGCCAGTCATCTGGGAAGCAGAGCTGGGTGGAGGGGGTATGTGGGGCTCGGCAATGGTTAGTGGGAATGCCATAAGGCCCTGTGATGGAATACTTACATGGCACCTGCTAACATCTTAACATACTTGCCTGTGCCAGAACTGAGCCACAGCTCAGGGGCATCTGCCTGTCGGCCGCCCTGACTTATTGGCATGCTAGGGAGTGACCTGGCTGGAGCTCAGGGGCTCTGCCTTTACAACAGGGCAGCTCGGATCAGAGGCCAGGCTGCCGACTCTCCCCAGACAGAATATCTGGGGCTCACGGTCTGTGCCTTTTCTGGCTCCTTCCTTTGAGCACACACAGAGCTCCTGAGCTGCATCTGAGAGCCACTCTCAGAGCCTGAAGCTGGGCTCATGCCATCCTATCTCATTTTCCAGTGTAAACAGGTGCGCAGGATCCAGAAATGGATCAAGATGATAAAGAACTACAGCAAATATTGTGGCAGCGAGAAGGTACCGTGGAGCTGAGGGCCCCTCGGGAACACTGAGAGCTGAGTTGGGGTTTGAGCAGTGCCCATTCCTGTGCCAGGCACCACCTGCCTCTCAAATGCCCAGGGGCAACTGTCCAGCCCTTAGAGACACAGGTCATCTGCACCCCTTCCCCATACACACAGGACACTGTCCTGGTAGAAAATCTGAAGTCACTGCTGAAGACAATCCCGGATGCAGGGCAGGTTTCCAGGTGCCCTGTAGGGGGCAGTCAGTGCAGGGCAGAGCCGGTGCCCCTGAGCCCTTGGCCCCCAGTCACTGTGGGTCATAAGGCCCCCATCTGGGCAGATCCTCCCTCTGCCAATACACAGGGAGCCCCTGGCTTCTCCCTCCTGCTGTCTCACCCTGCAGTCCCTCCCTGAACGGCCATGTTCACCACTCACCAGAGCCTCCTCTCTCCTGTAGTTTCAGCACAGAATTTATAAGGGGATCCCTGCCCAGGTGCGCGGGAAGGTGTGGGCCGTGATGCTGGAGGTGGACAAGAAGAAGGCCCAGAATCTGGGCAAATACGCGGTACGGCTCTGCACTCAGCCCAAGGGGGCTCAAGCTGCTCGGGTCTGGTTAGGAGCCTTAGTCTCCGTGGAGGACTGTCCCTCACTTTGCCCTCGGGAGCCTCCTCCCCATCCTGCCTTCCTCTCTCTAGATCCTAGTCAGTGCCTCCTCCACGTCTCCTCAGACTCAGCTGGGACTGGACATGTGTGTTTTGTGCCAGAGGCTTTAACCTGCTCTCTGCTGAACTCACCTGGGCAGCTTGGCATAAGGCCAGAAGAGAGGAATTGCTGTGCCCATGATGGGTGGGGGTCTCCCAGTATGAGATCACAATGGTGTGAGGTCGGGAGCCCCACAGGCTCTGTGCTAACAGGGCCTGCCCTTCGCTGGCCCTGCCTTCACATGCAATTGCACCCCTGGCATTGCCCTTGCCTGGAGTGGCTGGTCCGATGGTCAGACAGCTCTCAATGCTTCCGGGAAAGGAGGGAGCAAGGACTGGTGTGAGCAGAGGGCTGGCAACTGCAGCTGACTCTCGTGTCCCCGGCTGCCATCAGGGAGCAGGGCCCAGCTGTGTGGCCCACCCTGCCTCCCCCAAGTCTGCAGTTTGGGGCTACCCTGGGAGCTGGGCCTGGAGACAGTCATTGCCCAGACTCAGCTCCAAGCCAAGGGTGGCTTCCAACGTCTAGATGGAGATGGGCCCCTCCTGCAGGGGGCAGCATGGAGCAGTGGTCAGGCTCTGGCTGACTCCTGGAGGGCAGGGCCTGAGATGCCAGCGAGGAGGATCAGAAGCCTGGCTGGGGTCAGACCGCGTCTATGCTGAGAGCTGAGGGCAGGCAGGGGTAGTGCACAGGGACCTTTCAGAGCCCCTGTCTGATACTGACCATCGGGGTCCCAGTGGCCCCCTCAGCAGGGATGCTGGCAAGGGGGTGACATGGATGCTGAGGCAAGTAGGGAGCCCATGACCCCCCCTCAACGTGGGACCCAGAAGGGAATGAGCTCCCTGCAGGGAACTCTCCCTGTCAGCCAGAAGAGCTGACGTGGACGTGAGGTCCTTGTGTGGCAATGGGGCTTTTGCTAGTCCTGAGGCTGGCCCCTCCCCCTTGTCCTCCCCATCCTGCCTTCCTCTCCCTAGATCCTAGTCAGTGCCTCCTCCACGTCTCCTCAGACTCAGCTGGGACTGGACATGTGTGTTTTGTGCTAGAGGCTTTAACCTGCTCTCTGCTGAAGATGAAAAGAGCAGACCAGACTGGGCGCCAGACACTTCCATCACATTGACTCCGCCATCACATGGGCTTTCAGAAACCACCTGATGTTCCAGGAATGTTACGGAATGAAGTGAGGCCTCTGGGCTGGGGAGGACCCGGGGGTGGGAGGAGCAAGGGTCCTGGGGCACATGGGGTCCCTAGGGAAGACTTGGGTGCAAACCTGAAACAGTTCACTTAGCACAGAAAACAAAATTGCCTTTTATATATTATATAAACTTTTTTATATTATATAAACTTTCCCAAAGACACTGTGGAGAGAATGAAATGAAAAGAAACACAAGGGGAGACAATATTAGCAATCTACCTTATTAAGGTATTATTTCCAGAATATTCAAGGAGCCCTTCAACTCAGTAAGAAGGAAGCAGTGGGCAGCCTCCTAGTACCCCAGGGACACAGGCTCAGGAGGGCCCCTTCATGATGGCACACACAATTCTACTCAACGCATGAACACATGCTTAGCACCTAAACCACAACGGGGCACCAGTGCACAGCTGTGAGAATGGGGGAACTAAAACCACCGAGGACACCAGGTGCTGGGCAGAACGTGAGGCGAGCGCCACTCTGGTTCATTGCAGGAACAGAGCACAGTGGCCCAGGCCCCTGGCAGCACCCAGGGCCATTTCTCACAATGAGAGACACACACCTTCCACACAAACCCCCAGCACACACGCACATGTACACAAGCACCAGAACAGCTGAGTGCATAAAACCCTCACGCAAGATTCAGGGTTATGTTCACAGTCACTGGACGCAGGACTACCCTGCACGATGCTCAGTGGGGACACAGATAAGCAACCCGTGTCACAGCTGAATCCGAGAACAGGATTCAGTGAGAGGCAGGACGAGACTCGGCCCTGGGCACACCTGGATGCATCTCAGGTGCATTCTGCTAAGAGAGGAAGCATCCCTCAAAGGCTACACATACTGCGATCCACTCACAGGACGTCTGAGAAAGGCCGAACCCTGGGACACACAACAGGGCAGTGGTGGCCATGGGCTGGGGGAGGTGGGAAGTTTGGCCACAGAGGCTCATGGGGAACACATAGGCCACAGGAGCTGCTCCCTACCAGGCTGAACGTGTATGGGAGGCTGACTCTCCACAGCTTAGACCCACGGGACTGCACCTCCCACAGTGGGACGCTCACCTGTGCAACGAACACCCACCTGGGGAAATGAAACTGCACGTCACTGCACCCTGGGAGATGTTAGTGTCCCTGCAGGCAGTGCTCACCCACATGGTGGACAACACGCAGGTGCCCTGACGACATCACTGCTCATGAGCAGAGTGTCACAGGCCCTGCGTATGGCTGTCATGCTCTGTTAGGCAGAGCCACACTGAGAGCCTCAGCAGCACAGGACGCACAGCCTCTGTCCTCTCTCTTCCAGCCAATGCACCTTATTCCAAGTGCTCATGGCCTATTCTGTTTACAATCCCGTGAGTATTCTGGGATCATATCGCAGGTGCTATCCCGGCAGTCCTTGTAGGGCACCCTTGGTCACAGAGATCCCAGCCTGTGTTGAGGGGGCCTCTCTCATCCACAGCTCTGGGACAGAGGTGTAGAGGCCAGGCTCTGGGCCTCCTTGGACCCAACCTCAAGTTCTGTGAGGAGAAAGGCAGCCTTCTCCTGGGCTGGCCTCCAGACCCCAGGAGCTTGGCTGAGTTGGGACACCCCTCCCAGGACTAGCATTCCACACAGTGGGGTGTGGGGCGAAGGCAGGACAGATCAGGTGTATGACTTTGCTCATCAAAGTTGAGTCTGGGTCCCACTGATGCCATTACACCCACCAGACATGTGGTTGGACCCAAGGCCTGAATCCCACTCCACACAGCACCACTGCCACAACCACCCACTCAGACCTTTCCCATGCATGGAGCAGGTGCAGGGCTCCATGGGTGACCCAGCAAGGCCTGGACATCCCCATCCCCTGACCTGCCACTGGCCAACCCTGCCTGGTGCCCTGGTTCCCAGGGGGCCTGGCACGCAGGAAGCCCAGGCCTGTACCCATGACAGAGGCACACCTCCTATTTTGGTCCTGGTAGCACTTCCTGGCTTACTTCTTCCTCATGTGAGAAAGGGCCACCACGTCACCTGCAGAGCTCAGGGGTCCAGAAGCTTCCATGGGCATGGGTCTGGATTCCCACAGCAACCTGGCCCATCCTGACATCTTGTGGGTAACAGGTCCCCATACTTCAGGTCTCCCCGCTGTGCTGCCTAAGCTCAGGCCCTGCAGGATTCCCTCCAGGAACTTGGAGAACTTCGATGGGCTCCAATTCTTGGGCTGCTGACACCAAATGGCAGGATTCAGACACAGGGGCTCCCTCCCCAATCTTCCTAGACCCTTCAGTGGGTGACCTTGATCTCCCTGAGAGGTGGGTCATCCCAGGATATTATTCTTGCCAGGGGAGGTCTAAAGGTATTCTGGGATCTTGCAGGAGGTGGGCTACAGCCAGGGCCTGAGCCATGTGGTGGCGCTTCTGCTCATGTATATGCCCAAGGAGGACTCTTTCTGGGCCCTGGTCCAGCTCATGGAAAACAGTAAGCACACGATGCACGGTAGGTGGATGGCGTGTGAGGCCCAGTGCATGCAAGTCCATGCACAGCCCTCACTGGCTCCTGAATGTGCAGGACAGTGTCCCTGTTGGCGGGGGGGGGGTGCTCTCCCTAGAAGCCAGGGCTGGCAGAGGCCTCCCACACTGAGCCAGCCCCCTTCTTTCACCACCATCCAAAGGCCCAGCAGCTTGGCCATGGCCATCCTGGGTGTGGGAACCTTCAGAACAAGGGGTCCTGTCCTTGTCCAGTGACTCAGGTTGTTTCTGGCTCTTCTGCCTCACACTTCTCTACGCAGACTCTCAAGCAGAGAGCCACACCCAGGGAACTTACAGAAGGCAGCATCCCCTGTACGGTCACCCCTTCATCGCTCCTGAGTCTTGGAATGGTCAGGAGGCACCCAGTTTGACAGCATTCACCCCAGCAGTATCCAGGGGGCAGCCTGGCCTGGGCTGCACACAGTCACCCACCTGCACCCACCTCCCAAGGAGGTCCTCTGCCCTGGACACATTCATTCCCACCTGCCCCTGGTCGAGCCTCCCCTGATTCTCAGTGCTCAGAAAGACCCCACCCTGGCCTTGGGCTCTCCAGCCTTCCTAGGAGGAGGCTCTAACATGGGGATGTGGCTGATACTATGCGGGTTTCTACAAACCGAACACCCCAAAACTGGAGCGATTCCAGCACCACCTGAGAGATATCATGCATCGCGTGCTCCCCTCCCTGGAGAAACACCTGGTAAGTAAACATCTCCTTTCTCCCCTCGGGGGCTCTGTGCTCAGGGAGGGGAGGACAGAGAGGGGTCCTGACTGCTTCCTGGGCCAGGGGAGGCTACGTCCTCACCAAGGCTTTTCTTGGTTACTGGGGGCTACGGCAGCTTGGGTGCTGGTTTGATTTCCTGCACTTGGTCCCCCAGAGTTTGCGTAGATTGAAGGGAAATGCTGTCCCCAGGGCAGAGTGGACTGAGGGACCTGTGTCCCTTCAGGAATCTGCATGGCTGGGAGAGGGGATGCACCTGCTGCTGGGCTTCCTGCACCCAGGGGCTCTGCCACAGGGCACAGATTAGAGGGAGTCAGGCCTGGGCCCTGGGCCCTGGGCCCTGAGCCCTGAGCCCCCTCTGCCTCTTCTTAGGAGAAGGAGGGTGTGTACCTGGAGGACTACACCGTGCACTGGTGCATCCAGGGCTTCCTGGATGGGGTAAGTGCCCCGGGGACCCCTTGCCCAGGGAAGCTCCTGCCCAGTATCTGGCTCTCTTGTCCTGGTGGCCTATGACTCTGATCAGGGCTGAGCCCCCCCAGCCCCAGCAGACATAGGAGGGAGCCTGCTGTGCAGACCAGGCAGGCCCTGCCCTGCTAAAGGTGGTCCAAGCTGAGGCTGAGCCTCAGGGACATCAAGGAGGGGACAGGTCCCACCAGGACCCATCCTGAGAGCCTGGCAAAGGCCAGAGCCCTACAGTGAGAGGCAGAAGATCCATAGACCTTGGGTGGCACAGGCTGGTGTGCCTGGTATCTCCAGTGTGGCTTCCAAAGTGTGCAGACCCCCAGGGTCCAAGACAGGACATGGTCATCCTCTCTGGGTCTGGTTCCCTGAGTGGGCGGGGATGTGGCTGTGAGGAATGGCCTTACCTCCCAATGAAACCAGTCCCCCACCCTCACCTCCCCTCCCAGGAGCAGCTCTGGCCTTCTTGTGTGATGCAGCCTCCTGGAGTCTCCCTCTGTCCTAGGATAGTGACACTGCACACCCACCCCTGTGGGCCCTGCTGAGGCCCTGATGGGCAGGGTCCTCCAATGCCTCTGTCCCCCAGGTGCTGTTCCCCCAGCTCTGAGGATGTGGGACATCTATATCCTTGAGGGTGAGCACGTGCTCACCACCATGGCATACACGGCCCTCAAGATCCATCACAGTGAGTCCTCAGGGCCCACAGAGGCCCAGGTGCTGGGGACGGAGGAGCTGGGGGTCCCTCTGCCTGTGTCTCATGAGCAGGGCTTGAGGGAGGCATGAGGGGCTTTGCGAGTCCTGGGTTCTCTTCAGGAGGGCACTGAGAATCCCCTGTTGCATCCCCAATCCCAGGCCCCCACAGACCACAAGGAGAAGTGGCCAGGGTCCTTGCCCAGGAAATTGGCCCCTGAGCAGTCCCTCCAGTGCTTGGCTTGACACCCAAGGGTGTCCAAGGGTGTCTGCAGCCCATGTCTGGTGCTGGGACAGGGCTTGGAGCAGCCATGGTGGCTGCACCATCTCTAGGGCCCCTCCTAGCCTGACACCCGCCCCCATGTCTAGAGTGCCTGCTGAAGATGTCCAGGGACCACATCCATGGGTTTCTGCAGCTGACCCTGAAGCAGGCCTGGTCACTGAGTGAGGATGTGGTCATCAGGCAGCTGCGGGCCTCCATGCGTGAGCTGGGGAAGCTCCAGTGCCTCTTGCCTCCTGAAGGTGAGTCCAGCACACGGCCCCATCCCATGCTCCCTTGGGGGAGTCAGTAGTGGGAATGCCAGCCCTGGCAGCCCTGCCCAGGGCCTCACCTCTTCCTTGTCCTCCATGTCCTCCCCGGGCTCAGCAGTTCTGCTTTCAGAAGCTCTGACAGCATGGCCTGGTGGGGCGTCAGGCAGCTGCCCTGATTCCTCCTGTGGGGGACTGCTCTCCCCCAATGACTCTGGGGCTGGGATGTGGAGCTGTCCTAGGGCTCTGTGGCTCTGGCTCCTCAGCTGACCTCCACTCTGGAGTGGATTTGAGGCCCCGCCTTGAGCTACCCTGCCCAGGTCTGGAGCAGGTACCCTGGCTCAGTGTCCCCAGGAGCCTGGAGCACAGCTGGACTCCCACTCCAGCAAGATGAGAAGTGGCCCTGCCTGCCCAGGGTGCATCTCCCTGACTGACCCCACACAGGCTCCTGGCACAATGACCACAGCTGTCTGCACACAGGACCCTCCTAGGACAGGGGTGGGTGGGGCTCCCACCTGCATGTAGGCAGGGCTAGAGGAAGGTGGGGCTGTGGGAGACCCTGCACAGTGAAGGCCAAAGCCAGCCAGCACTGCATCCCCTTCAAACATCTGAGGATCCCTGGAAGGCCCAGGTGCCCTGAGCCCAGTTGTGGGGGCTGAGTCCACTCCTGTGAGCAGGGTGGGCACAGAGGCAGGCACTGCAGGCCCCCACAGCAGAACCCAAGTGCAGCTGAGTGTGGGCTCTGCAGTCCTAGCCTCGGGCCAACTGAAGTCAGCGGAACCTGGAGCAGCGCTGGCCTCTGGGCTCTGGTGGGGAGGGGTCCCCGTACTCGTCCCTGTTGCTGCTGCTGCCATCAAGGACCTGAGTGCCTGGGTTCCCATGAAGAGCAGAGATGGGTTTGTCCCAGCTCTAGAGGCTGGCAGTGGGGACCCAGGTGCAGGCTGTTGAGGCACTGGGGAGGCCCCACTGTGCTTCCAGGTTCTGCCTCCTCTGGGAGCTTGTGGGACAGAAGCGGTGCTGTCTCACCAGGAAAGGGACAGTGGCCCAGGGTCAGAGGACACAGGGCACCCCTGTCACCTCTTTAGAAACTGCATTCTTGTCCCCAAGGGCCTGAATCAGACCCCATGTCTGCCCCACAGCCCCAGCTCTCACCCCCATCATCTTAGGCTCAGTTCCTTTCCAGCCATTTAGGAGGGACTCAGATGCGGGTAACTCAGCCAATGCACTGATAGGGCACAGGAGGTCAGGTGGGGTAGGTGATGGGGTCCTGAGTTGGTGCCTCGATCCCCAGAGAGAGTGAGGTGGGGAGGGCAGGGCCATCCACCCTGTGGGCCTGTGCAGGAGGAGCCGGAGCTGTCCCAGGGCTCCCCTGGCCCAGGCTGCACACACCGCCCCTCTGGGGCCAGCAGCCTGGGAGAGTCCTCAGTGTCATGGGATGATGGGGACCCCAGGGTGAGGTCGAGGCAGGCACCCTGCAGGTCAGATGGGGGCTGTGGAGAAGCAAACCGCGTCTCTTCTTCTTCCAGCCAAGGCCATCAAACGGTGTGGCAGGCCCCTGGGGCAGGCACACGTCCCCCAGAAGCATGTTCCTGCCCCCAGTGCCATGAAGGCCAAGATCGCCATTCAGGACACAGTGGCTGTGTGGGAGCAGACCAGGGGTCCCGCTGCCCGTGCAGTGATGATCCATCCTCCAGAAAGCTTTGGCCTCTGCATCACCGTGAGGGAAGGCATCGAGGAGGAGGAGAGCTGCGAAGGCAGCCCAGAGCCCCTCGGCCTGGGCTCCCCTGTGTGGACCGCAGAGTCTCCACATGTGGCCAGCCCCACGGAGACTCCAGAGAGCTCATGGGGGAGGGGAGGGCTGTGCCAGTGTGCCAGTCTCCCTAACCTGAGCGGGCCAGGACAGAGGGAGGACGACTCTTCTGATGCTGGCAGCCGGGAGGGCCTGTGGATGTGGGCTCCTCCACAGGCCTTGGAGCCCCTGGAACCAGGGCCCATGCAGCCCGTCCCAGCCTGGGGGCCATGGCTGAAGACTCCCCACTACTGGCATGGCAGCCCCATGCACTCTGGACAGCCATGGGCTGGAGCCGGCCAGAGCCAGCCCTGGGCTGGGAGACCAGGCCCGTGTGCCCTCCCTGGCCCGAGGCCTCCTTACCTCCTACTCCATGGGGCACCTGGATGATGGGTGCCTCCTAGAAGAGAGGCTGAGCCCACCACGTGTCCTGCCCAGGCTGGGCAGCAGCCTTCCATGTGTCTTCATGGCATCCTATACACTTGATTGAGCCCCGACCCCCCAGGCTCTTCCTGGGGCCAGGATACCCCGTTACTGCAAGACAACAGCAGTGCTGGGAGCCACTGTACTAACCCCTGCCCCCTGCCCCTGCCACCCTCAGGTGGTGCTGACCCTGTATTAAATGGTTACAAGGAAACGTGTTTGCTCCAGTTTGTGACCCTGGTGTCCATCGGGGTCTGGGTCAGGGTGGGAGAGCAGCAGCTGTGAGTGCCCGTGACCTCTGGGACAGATCGGCACAATAGGAACAGTCGTAGTGGGAGGGCCTGAGTCACCTCTATGCTCTTGTAGACCTGGGCAGCCGTGTGCAGCATCCCTGGCTTGCCCCCACATGTCTCTCCCTTCTGTCCTGTATATTCTGGAACCCAGCTCCTCTTCACCCTGACACCGGGAGAGGGCCCCCAGCATGCTCGGCTGGGTCCTAGGGGGATGCCAGCAGGGCCTTTCTGTACTGCTGAGCCCTGGTGTCTGCACTGAGTTGCTGGGGGGAGGGCTGCCATGGGTGCTGTGGGCTGGCCCCGCTTGCCCCAGGCCCGGCCCTGGTCTAGTACAGCGACCTGTTTTGAGCCCATCCCCTCTGCCCCCACCTGTCCCAGCTCCCCACGGCCTCCTGTGCCACAGCTGTCTGCTGCTGCCTGCAGAGCTGGCTGCCTGGTGACTCCAGGTGCCCTCAGGGATGGGGACGGGGCCTTTCTCTGTGCTCTTCTGGGTCTGTAGGTCAGAGCCCTCGGGTCCCAGCCAGGCCCACCTGAGCCCGCATTCTGATGAGGGAGAGATGTGGCCTTTGCCCCCTAGAACGTGAGCCCTGGCCCCGGCCTCGGCTGTGCTGGATGGGAGTGTGCGTCTGTACCACACCCCGTTTGTGAGCACAAGGCAGAGGCTGCATCACAGAGACGTGGACTCGCTCTGTGTGTCTGGCCCCACCTGCTTCTCCTGTCACAGGTGCTCAGGGCAGGGGCCCAGCCTTCTTCCACGCTGTGTGGTGTCTCCCGAGGCCATGGCTGAGGCTATTGCTACTGTGTCTGGGAATCAGCCAGCCCTGGGAGGCACGGTCTGTCCCCAGTTCTTCAGGGGCTCACGCGTCAGAGCATCAAGAATACAAAAGGTGAAAGTCACAGTTAGTGAACGCGGCTCTGGGGTGAATATAGCAAATAGACAAAATGCAGAGTCCAAGAAAATATGGTTAAAACTCACCCTGCCCCCACCCAGACACAAAGCCACCTTCCACATCCTCTTGTCCATCTCACAAAGGCCAAGCAGGTCAGGTGAGAGTGAGAGGGCTGCAATCCCACCTGCAGGAGGCTTGCAGGGGACACAAGGTGTCCAGGTTTTGTCCAGCGTCCAGCATGGTGGGGGAGAGGAAAACCTAGAGAGAGACAGACCTGATTCCACAGCGCCTCTGCCACTGGACAGCTGAGCCATTGGCAAAGTCCCTCACCTTCCTAGCTTCCATTTGCTGTCCTGTGAAATGTCAGTGTCAGCAGCACCTGGACCAGGCATCCTAGAGACACACAGGCTGGTGTTGTGGCACAGCGGGTTAAGCCGCTGCCTGCGATGCCAGCTTCTGTGCTGGTCCGAGTGGCCGCTCTTCTGCTTCCAACCCAGCCCCCTGCGAATGCGCCTGGGAAGACATCAATGATGGCCAGAGTACTTGGGCCCCTGCCTCCCAAGTGGGAGACCTGGATGGAGCTCCAGGTTCCTAGCTTCAGCCGTTGTGGCCATTTGGGGAGTGAACCATGAAATGGAAGATTTCTCTCTGCCTCTCCCTCCCTCCCTCCCTCCCTTTCTCCCTCTCTCCCTCTGTCACTTTCAAATAAATAAAAATATTTTTAAAAATTAAATTTTAACAATGTTTATTATAGTGTTTGTCCTAATACATGATGCTATGTATCCAAAAAGCAAAGGATCCTTAAGGGAAAATAAAGTGGTAGAGGAAGAAGTGGAATTGTGCCCGGGGTCAGAAAGGGAAGTCTCGCAGAGCTGGGGAGGCCTGGGCAGGGCCTTAGGAAGCATGCTATTGTGTGTGCAGATGGTAGGAGGAGAGTGCTGGGGGGCTAGGGGTAAAACACCATCAGATGTCCACGTATCGCTCCTCTCCCCCATCATTAAGACCCCATAAGGGATAAGAAAATGGCAAAATCTGTGCTAGGAGATAGCCAGGGTCCCAGCTCCCAGATTCTGAGAGCACACAGTGACATGGAGCCACACCCAGGCTGGAGAGAGACCCTGTGCAGGTAGAACAGCACTCACTAAGGAGCTGCTCTAGACAGAGACTCCCCCAGCACTTCAAGGTCAAGGGGAGGGGCTCTCACAGTGTCTAGCAGCCCTGCTGCCACTGCTCTGTAGGTGCCCTGGTTCTGCCTGCTGTGTGCTCCTGGTTTTGGCCTGGCCCAGCTCTGGCCAACATGGCCATTTGGGATCTCTCTCTCTCTCTCTCTCTCTCTCTCTCTCTCTTTTTCTCTCTCTCTGTCTCTCTCTCTCTCCACCCCTCTATTTCAAATCATTTTTAAATACATAAAAATCAGCCTTACATTCCCAGGTAGTAGGTATGATTTTTGTCCCATTTTACAAACAAGCAGAGACAGATGAAACAACTTGCTCAAGGTCACAGCTGAGCAATGGCACTGGGATGGGGCCCGGATGGCTGCCACTTGAGCTGAGCGTTTGGTTTGCACGTTGGGGAGTTTGCTCTTGGAGGTGCACAGGAGAGAGGGACCCAGCTCTCACGGGGCTCCCATTGGCAAGGACTTTCATGTATTCATTCACGCGTCTATGCCTTACACAGCCTCATTATCTTGAAAACCACATCCTGCTGCCCGCCCTGCATGCGCAGTGCAGACTTCGGAGTGAATTCCAAGTGTGACCCTCTCGAAGGCTGACACCATCGATCAAGCAGCCGGGGTGTCACCAGATTTAAGCCTTTTGCGTGGTCTACATCAGTCCCTTTGGCTTCCCCAGGACTGAAGCCCCTCTCCCTGGACAAGAGCCCTGTGTCTTGGCCTCAGGGCTTCTTTGCTCCCTGGAGGGGACTAAGGGGTGGGTTCCCCTCCAGCTCTGACTGCCTCTCAGGGGATCTGGGCTGTTTCTTCCCCAAGGCTACTCCAGGTGTAACTGCAGGAGGTTCTTGTCTTTGCACAACAGAGTTGGGGGTAGGGGGTGTGAGGCAGTGTAGCAGCAAGCAGCCAGGCATGTTTCATGAATCGAATACACCTGCCAGGCCAGGCAGGCATCTGGGGAAGAACTGAGGGCCTGGTTTGCATTCAGACGGCAGTTTTCATAGAACATGGGTGTGGGCCCCTGTTTCTCCTCCCTGCTCCCTCTCCAGGATATTGCTGGGTGGAGGGCTTCCTGGGTGTAGAATTCCTAAAATTCCCCCCAGGATCTTCTCAGCAGGGCACTACTGGACCCGATAGCTCTCTGGGTATAGGGCGGGAAATGGTCCCCTAAGCCGAAACCCACCCAACAAAGCAGTGCTTTAGGTATGGACTTCCTGGACAGGCACAGAGGTTTCCATTTTCTTGAAAAATTCCCACTTTCTTCAGCCTCTCACACACATAGGCTAATGTCTATCTAGCTACCAACACAAGGTTGCTTGTATTTATTTATTTTTTAACCAGCATCAGAGCGACTTGGAGCCCCCATCCCATGCTGGCTGGGTTGATCCCAGCTGATGGCCTCAGAGCTGTAGCAGAGACAGCAGGCCCTGCCAGCCCCCACTCCCCCACACCTCCACACCTGAGGCTCTGAGCTCCACTCTAGCACTGCCCCCTGAGCCATGCCAGCTTGCACTTCCTGAGTAAAACAAATGGAGGCCCTTGTTTCAAGCCATCGCCCTGGGAAAGTTGGTTACATGAAACAGATGACCAGAACACAGGCAGCCATAAGTGCTAATGTTCCTGTGGGAGACCCCTTGCCCAGGCATCCAACAGAATGAGACTCCCATCCCTTCTCAAGGACCTTAATAAGTGACAACGGGAAGGCAACAACTTCAGCAGGGTCACTAATCTGTCCAGAAAGACAACCAATGCTATGGCCACACAGGCACTCACCTGAAGGGGGAAAAGCCATCAGCATTCCAGAGAGCATCCTGGAAGTCTGAGCCAACACACGAAGTGGGGTGGGGGGCAGAACTGGAAAAGAAAGAAGAGATTGAATTAACAGTATTCACAGGCTGTATGGTCGTGCACCTCAAAAACTTAAGGAAATAAAAACATTCTGGGGAAAAGACCAAGGGCACAGCTAGTTAAAAAAAAAAAAAAGTAGAGCTTTGTGCCCTCCCCTCCTCACCAGAATTAGACTGGGACCTGTCACTGAATCTCACAAGTACCAGGCAATGCTGTCAGCCCAAGAGCTGGACTCACTACTCCTGAGACTAAACCTCGCTGTTTGGTCACACAGAGGGCTCAGCTGCAGTGCTCTGGGGCTGCACAGCCCAGATCCCAGCCCCACTCACAGTCCCATGGCCCTGGGTGTGTTATTTAAAGTCTCGTGCCTCAGTTCCCTCAAATGGAAGTGTTACTAACCACACCAAATGCACATGGTTATGAAAAGAAGTCAACAGTCGTTTCTAGAGGCCAGTGCTGTGTGGTATAGCAGGTAAAGCCACCAGCTGCAACATCAGCATCCCATATGGGCTCCGGTTCAAGTCCTGGCTGCTCCACTTCCCACCCAGCTCTCTGCTATGGCCTGGGAAAGCAGTGGAAGATGGCCCAAGTACTTTGGGTCCCTGCACCCGCATGGCAGACCTAGTAGAATCTCCTGGCTCCTGGCTTTGGATCAGCCCAGGTCCGGCTATTGGGGCCATTGGGGAGTGAACCAGCAGATGAAAGATTCTCTCTCCCTCTCTCTATGTAACTCTGCCTTTCAAATAAACAAATAAACTGTTGTTTCTATGTAAAGTTATCAAACCAGTGACTGCAGATCATATATGTAATTATTAGTCATTGATGTTAGTTGGGGTTCTCCAGGGAAACAACCCATAGAAGATACACCAGGGGACTTCAAACAGTTATTTTGGTGCAAAACATTTCAAAATCTATGAAGAGTTTTTTCATAATAGGCATTTTTCATGAGCTTTTTGAAGAGTCCTCCTATGCATAGATTTAAAATATTTTTGCACTACAATAAACATCATTTAATTCTGATTTCCACAAATTTTTTGAATAGCTTTGTATACAAAAGGAGAGATATTATGAAGAACTGGTTCCCAAGAAATGTGAGGCTACGAAGTCCCTCCATCTGCAGTCTGCACGCTGAAGTCACAGGAAAGCCAGCTGTTGTAACTGAATCTGAGTCCAAGGCTTGTGAACCAAGGCAGCCAGTGGTGTTAATTCCAGGTCCAGGGCAGGAGAAAGTGAGGTTAGATGTCCCAATTCGATGATGAGGCAGGAGACGGGGGTAAAGTCCTTTCTCAGCGTTTTGGTCTGTTTGGGCCATCAATGGGTTAGGAGACGCCACTCACCCTGGGGAGGGGTTCTACATCACTGAGCCCCCTGACTCACACAAACTCATCCAGAAACACTCTCATAACACACCTACACATTATGGTTTGTTTTATTTTATTTTAAGATTTATTTGTTTACTTGAAAGGCAGAGTTACACAGAGAGGAAGAGACAGAGAGACAGAGATCTTCCATTCACTGGTTCACTCCCCAAATGGCTGCACCATCCAGGCCTGGGCCAAGCTGAAGCCAGGAGCCAGGAGCTTCTTCCAGGTCACCCACATGGGTGGCAAGGCCCCAAGTACTTGGGCCATCTTCTGCCACTTTTCCAGGCCATCAGCAGGGAGCTGGATCAGGAGTAGCAGAAATGCACATTGGCACTCACATGGGATGTCGGTATAGCAGGCGGTGGCCTCATCCACTACACCACAATGCCAGCCCCTAGACATCATGTTTAGGGTACCCCATGTCCCAGTCACAGCTCCTCAGCACAGATGTTACTATTGGAACACACTCCCAGGCTGCAATCCCAGCATGGCTCAGGAAGAGGGTAGTTGTTTTCTTCTAATCACAAACACTTTGTAATCAAACTATATGTAAATATAACTATGTGTAGAAAAATGTATAGAAAAATTTCATAAAATGTTAAGCTTTCTGAATTAGGCATTTTTTTTCTTATTAAGGTTACCAAAAATATCCATTATGCTATAGGTATTAAAATTTAAAATATACATAATCTACATTTAAGCACTCCAATTCAATAAATCTAAATGTTTAAAAATTAGTTAATACAAAGTGATTGATTCCAGCATGGCTTATAATAATGAAAAATAACCTAAAATGACTATCGGTAGTAGACTGGTTAAATAAATGATAGTACATTAGAATGTGTTACAGACATTAAAAAAAATGTGACATAATTTTTGTGCTACTACATGGAAAGTGCTGTAATTTACATTGATATAAAAAGTTTCAAAGTGATGTACATAATATTCTACACTTTTGTAAAAATTAAAAATAGTGTGTATACATTACATATGTGTTCACGTGTGTGTTGTGGCTTACATGGATGTACAACACTCTGGAGTATACTCTAACAAATAGGCACATGTTCTCATGGCAGGGCACCCTGACCCAGCAGAAGGGCAGGAAGCAGTCTTAACCATCACCATATGTCATGCTGTTCATTTTGAATGTTGTGCCTTAAGCTGACAGTACCTACATAACAATAAGTATTTTGTAAAAGACATATGCAGGACCTAAATAATGAAAATCATAAAATTCAATCTCCCTGGTGAAAATCAAAGAAATGATGGTGCAGGTGTTGTGGCACAGCAGGTTAAACTGCCACTTGGATGCCCGCCTCCCACATCAGAATGCGTGGGATCAAGTCCCACCTCGGCTTCTGATCCAGTTTCTCACTAACGTGCACCCTTAGGAGGCAGCAGATGACTGTCTCAAGTACTTGAGCTCCTGCCACCCAGGTGGGAGATCCAGACAGAGTTCTTGGCTCTTCTTGACTTTGTCCTGACACACCCTGGCTGTTGCAGGCATCTGGGGAAGTGAACCAGTGGATGGAAGTTCTCTCTCTCACTCACTCACTCTTGGTTGCTAGACCTTTCAAATAAATAAAAACAATTTTTTTAAAAAAGCAAAACTATAGCATCATAAACTATTTGTCCATAAAAATGACAAGGCCCTTTTTTGTTTTTGTTTTTTATAAGATAAACAGTTTGCTCTCATGTTCACAAAGTGACCGAGAAGGGCAGCCTTGTGTGCGGCTAGTGGTAGGTAATCACTCTCAACACTGGCAAAGCAATTAACTCATGGTTCTGGATGAGCAGCCCACTTCTAGAAACCTATCCTAAGGAATTAACTAAAGTCGAGGCAAAGATTTATGTACAAATGTTAAATCCATATGACTAAATAATGTAGAGCCATTAAAGTAATGTTTTTGAAATACATATAGATTATATATTATACATATAACAAAATGGATATCGTGCTTCTGGATTTTTTCCACGGCAGTAATACTTTTTTAAGTTTATTAAGCATATTTTTCAAGATGAAAGCAATACTTGAACATTTGAAATAATGGATATTATAGGAGAACCTCAGGAGATAACATGAAATAAATGAGTAGTATTCAAAGTTATGGGTGCATTTCCATCCTGGTTTCTCATATATTTTAATGCAAGGGTTGTTTTGCTTGTGTCATGGCACCAGGAGATTTTATCCATTACTTTAGCCTCCCTAGTCCCTTCTGAATGTGCAGCAGGTGGGAATCATAGCAGAGTGAAGAATCATAAGCTTATTCTATTAATAGAGACACTGGAGTGGGCTCTGCCCCTTGTCAAGTCTAATGATAAAAAGGACACCCGTGGTCCCCAGAACAGCCCTGCCCTCTCAGCACCTTCCAGGACTGTGGGGCTGAGAGCCTGGGAACCACACTTCCAGGACTCCCCTGCCTGCAGGACTTGTGTGAGATGCAGCTACTGTGAGGTTGCAATGACAGCCGGAAGGCAGAAGTGGGGGAGGAGCCACGATCTCCTCCCATGGCAGCCACAGGTGTCACCAAGTGGCAGATATGGGGCTGTGCCAACAGCTTCCAGGGTTCATCCCAGCTACCACTCATGTACCCACTGCCAGCTGCTGAGACAGTCTCTGATCTCCTGGAGAGCAGCTCTCTGAGCCTGCCCAGAGCCCCTAGAAGTCAGCAGCACCTCCTGAGCCCAGCCTCCTGCCCAGCTCTTCCTCCTAGTTTCCTGAATCCACTCCTTTCTGATTAAAACTCCTGGATGGTTGCTCTGTCCCTAACTCCTGGCTGATGAGCCTTCCAAATCCAGGCCTCTGGTGTCTCACCAGAAAAAGACAAGTGGGATGGGACCAGCATTGCAGCACAGTGGGTTAAGCCTCAGCCTGTGGATGCCAGCATCCCATATGAGCATTGGTCTGAGTCCCAGGTGCTCCATTTCCAATCCAGCTCCCTGCTAATGTACCTGAGAAGGCAGCAGGTGGTGGCCAAGTGCTTGGGCCCCTGCTGCCATGTGGGAGACCTGGATGGAGTTCCCATCTCCTGCTTCAGCCTGGCCCAGCTGGCTATTTGAGGAGTGAACCAGTGGATGGAAGATTGCTTCTTATCTCTCCCTCTATCTATCTGTCACTCTGCTTTTCATATGGAGTCCCAGGAGGGCCAGGCACAGCCACCAGACTGGATTGCTGGGCTCTGAGCATGGAGTCCCATCGGCTCCAACTTATGAGCCTCCAGTGGTAGCAACACCTGGCTGAGCAATGGTGTTTATGACTGGAGTCTAACTCCTAATCTGTGTGCTTCAAGGGTGTTCCTCATGGCTGAAATTTAAACACAAAACATTGATTTTGCTATTTTCCAAACACGTGAATTATTTAAGCACCATGGGGCTATACCTAGAACTAGAGCAAAAGACTCCCTCTCATTTCTTCCAGAAGCTTCCTCCCCACTGTGCCAGGGAGAGAACAGTGCAGAAAGATGGCTGGGTCATGATGTGCCACAAGTACCATCAATGCCACCTTCAGCTCCTCGTGAACAACCATGAGGAGCTTCATCTGTCCCAGAGCTACTGGGCATTGTGCCCTCTGCACCACATGGAGCTTAGAGTGGACTGAGACCCAGGGAGGCCAGCATCTCTGATGAGATGTGTAGGCTCCAGCGTGTGTCCGGACAGGAGAGAACACGTACGGTGATGGGAGACATACTTTGTTAGTTACAATCCTTCTGCTGCCTTCTGCGAAAAATATACTCCCAAAGACTCCATTGGTCTTTTTTTTAAGATTTTTATTTATCTATTTGACAGAGTCACAGAGAGAGAGAGAGAGAGAGAGAGAGAAAGAGAGAGAGAGAGAAAGGTCTTCACTTCCCAAGTGGTCGCAACAGCTGGAGCTGCACCGGTCTGAAGCCAGGAGCCAGGTGCCTTTTCCCAGTCTCCCATGTGGGTGCAGGGGCCCAAGAACTTGGGCCATCCTCCACTGCTTTTACAGGCCACAGCAGAGAGCTGGACTGGAAGAGGAGCAACTGGGACTAGAACCCGGCACCCATATGGGATGCCGGTGCTGCAGGTGGAGGATTAACTTAGTGAGCCATGGCGCCAGCCCCAAAGACCCCACTGTTAACTGAAAGGATATTGTGTGTGAGGACCCAAGATTGCAGAAACCAGAGAATAAGAGGTAAGCTGCTCTGTTAAGACCACATAGGACAAAAGGAGAAGGAAAAGGAAGAGAGAGAGAGAGAGAGAGAGAGAGAGAGAGAGAGAGAGAGGAAGAGAGAGAGGGAGAGGGAAGGAGGGTGAGGGGGGAGGGAAGGAGGGTGAGGGAGAGAGAGGGGGGGAGGGAGAGAGGGAAGAGAGAGGGAGAGGGAGGGAGGGTGAGGGGAGAGGGAGAGAGAGAGAGAGAGAGAGAGAGAGAGAGAGAGAGGAGAGCAGCCAGCTCTAGAGGAAAGTCACTGACACTCCACTGCCCACCTGTCTCATGCCCAGCTTGGCCTCTTCCAGAGTTCACTAATGACTTTGTCTTGCCTCTCCACCCACACCCCACCAGCAAAAGGCCTTCTTTGTGCAGTAGATCCTTGGGCTGCTGTGAGTGGACACCAGACAGGAGTGGAGAAAGTTAACAGATGCTTGTAGGTGAACAGAGAAGAAGAGGTGAAGGCTTGCTGTGAGGGCAGAGGGAGTCAACGAGCAGGCAGCAGTGAGGGTTCGGTGATAAGAAGTCCAGCCAAGGTTGCTGTGCAAATATCAAACTCTGTATGGTTTTCTCCAGGAGCTGCAGGGAGGGCGAAAAAAGGCCAATTTGAACAGCATCTCCAGGGACCACGCCCCTCCGTGGGCTTGCAGAAACACAAGCAAAGAATGCAGATTAGGCTGTGAGTGACGCTGTGTCCCTTTCTCCACAATATTGCTTTGGGGATAAACCTGGGGTGGCTCCATACAGGTTACAAAAATCCTCCCAGATGTCCGCTCAGAGGTGTAGGGGGGGTCCTCTGTGCCCTCTGAGCCACATGGGACGGAAAGCATGCACGATGCACCTGGAAACTCACACACACACACATACATGGTGCACACAAATCCCCGGGCAATGCAGACTCAGGTCAGTGTCCACACACTGGGGCCACCCCACCCCCAGCCTCAGACTCACATAGTCAGGTCCAGACCCAGGTCACGTGATGCCCAGACTTCCACAGGCACATGGAAGCCCTGAGAGGCCTGCAGCCCCTGCAGCCACTGGGAGATGTGCTCCATTGCCTCCACCCCTCCCCACCCCGGTGCTGAGGCAGTGCGAGGATTCCTAGGAGGGAAGTCCCGTGTGGCCCAAGGATGAACTCTTTGGCCCTCAGCAGAGTGGTGGATGGGGAGAAATGGACGCTGAAGGTGGGTGAACAGAGGATCTGGCACTGCCCTAGAAGAGAGAATCAGAGGCGCACCTGCAACAGGGTGGGTTCTGGGCGCACGTTATAGGTCAGATGGAACCAATGGCTCAGTGGCTGCTTCAAAGCATCCAGAAGGGAAGTGAGCTGGGTGGCACTTGGGACTGTGTCTGGGGCCTCGGGCATCACTCACTGGGAGGGGTTACAACAGGGAAGGGGGTGCAGGGTGCCAGAATGGCCCTATTGGTTATGCAAACTGGGGACTCAAATTACCCTGAGCACTAGTTCCTGGGGACACATAGTCTCCAGCCAAGACAGGGGGGCTGCAGCCCATAGCCTGAACCCCAGCGGGCTCTCAGAGTCCCTTCCCAGGCACCTGGCCCTCATAGGAGAACACAGAGGCCAGAGGCCAGAAGAGCAGGGAGCCCCCTGGAGGCCAGAGGAGCTAAAACCCCCTGAGGGTGGCCTCAGGTGTTCCTGCCCCACCCCAGTTCTGCAGTCTCCAGCTGTCAGGGGTACCGTGAATCGCAATGGTCTCACCACACAACCCTGGACCTCCCTTCAGAATCAGCCCTGTCAGGAATCAGAAGAGCCCTTCTGAAGCCGATGTCAGCCTGTTCCTCAGCACCAACCACCCCCCACCACCACCTCTGCTTTGGACCAGAGCCGGGTATGACAGCATCCTACCCCTGCAATGGCCTCTACCCTCAAAAGTGCAATCACTTTACTTGCCCAGTGGCTTCTCAGCAGGGACTGAGCCATTCCCAGAAGCCCCTGGGCAGCACAGACACACAGTCTCAGGCAATGCTCTCCTGGGCAGGCACTTCACCGAGGCTGAAGGGGGGCTGGCAAAGGCTAAACTGGCAGCAGGCAGCATTTCCAGCATGCAGTCTCTCCCATGAAGGTGGAGAAGGAACTCCTTCCCGCAGCGGCCCAACTTCCGGGAGCCAGGGGCGACTCCAGCAGAAACCACGACCTCGTGCGGAGGACATGCTGGAGAAGCCCCCAGGGCCCTGGTGCACTGGATTCTTCCTGTGAGAACCTCATTCCTCTCTGTTCCGTGTCTCCCAGTCCACCTCCTGCCTCCGAGTCCCCTCCACACGGGGACTGCAGGGGACAGCGTCCATGGAGCTGCTGGGAACTGCACGTCCGCACCTGTATCCAGGCATCTGTAGGGGGAGCTGCCATGTTCTTGCCTGATCCCTCCTACCTAGACCACTCTGGGCCATTGAGACTCTTCCCTGGAACTGGGGTCTTAGAAGCCCATTCATTTTTAGTGGCTGAGATCGCAGGCAGAAAGCTCAGGCACTGTCCATGTCCATCGTGGAGAACAGAGCCAAAGAAAGGAACGCAGGGAGCTGGTGCCCAGGGAAGAACAGGAACCAGAGGTGGGTGCCCAGCCTCTCCCGAGGGTTCCCGAGGCCACTACAGCCAAGCCTCCCCAGGGATCCTTCCAATACAGCCCTGTTTTGCATAAGCAGGCTCCAGCCCAGTTCTTCCCTCAAAACCCAGAGGATGTGGGTGCATAGGGCAGGGGGGCAGGGGTGAAACAAAGCTGAGGTCAAGAGTGTGAAGCTCTCAAATGCCACCCAGAGCTCAGCCACTCCCCCCACCAAGGCGTCAGTGGGTGTTGCTGAGCCAACCACCCATACATGTGGCATTGCAGGAGCTGAACAGAAGCAGATGCTGCCAGGGACATGGGCCACAAGGTCAGCAGGACTGGCTGGGGCAGCTGACTGGGGTACAGGGAAGAGGGAACAGAGTCAGGCAGGGGGTGGAGAATTAACAAGGGAAGAGATTAGAGCGTTTTAAGGAAAACCTCATTTTCAACCATGCTCCTCAAGAAAAGGGGGCTGGTGGATCAACGGAGGTGACGTCGGCAGTGCAGACTGAGGATGGTGATTCGGGAGCTCCGACCAGACAGCACTGTCTCTGCAGGAAAAACCAAGCTGGAACTGGAAAGATCAGTGCTGACTCTGCATTTGTCTCCACTGTGAGATACCATGTCCAATATTGCCACGATAATTCAGCTGATGGAAGTAAAATGATTCCATCTCTTGACAACAGGTTTATGACTCCTCTATTTTTAAAAACAAGCTAAATATTTTATTTCTTTCAAAGAAAAATGTGATTTTTTTTTCCTTACCAGCCACAATAACTTAAATGAGTGACACCCTTCAGTGCATATATGTATCGTGTTTTTCTCTTTTTGAATAGCTAATACATATATATGACTGTCTTAGAAAACAGAGCACAGAGGGGTGGGTGGTAAAAAGTGACTCTTCCCCTCTCCCACTCTGCATTTAAAGCACTGATACTGGGGTTGGCATCCAGCACCATGGCTAGGACACCACTTGGGATACCCACATCCCAGATCAGAACATCTGGGTCCGAGTCCCAGCTCCATTCTCAATTCTAGCTTCTTGGAAGGCAGCCGGCAATGGCTCCACTAGTTGGGAGACCTGGATTGAGTTCTGGGATCCTGGTTTTCAGCCTGGCCCATCCCTGGCTGCTGTGGGCATTTGAGGAGTAAACTAATAGTTAGGATCTCTCTCTCTCTCTCTCTCTCTCTCTCTCTCTCTCTCTCACTGCATTTCAATAAAATTTAAAATAAAAATTCAGGAGCTACATGGCATAGCAGATTAAGCTACCACCTGTGAGCTAGCAGATAGATCTCTTTCTATCCTTCTCTCTCTAACTCTGCTTTTCAAATAAATAAATATATCTTTAAAAAAAAAAGTAAAAAATTTTGAAGCCATGGTCCCGAGTCTCTTGCTGCTCCCTCCAGAGGTGGCCGTAGATGCACAGTGACCTAGTTGTGCAGCCCTCCTTCTGTATACACTGTACCACTCCTTGCTCTTCCCCTGAATACGGCATGAGAGTGTTTTCTCTCTGTGTGGGTAGACTGCCTCTCATTTTGAAATATTCCATGGGGGCCGGCACTGTGGCACAGTAGGCTAAGCTTCTGCCTGCAGAGCTGGCGCCTCATATGGTGCGAGTCCTGGCTACTCCACTTCTGATCCAGCTCTCTGCTATGGCCTGGGAAAGCAGTAGAAGATGGCCCAAGTCCTTGGGCCCCTGCACCCACATGGGAGACTGGGAAGAAGCTCCTGGCTCCTGGCTTTGGATCAGCGCAGCTCCAGCTGTTTCGACCATGCAGTGAATGAACAGATGGGAGACCTCTCTCTCTTTGTCTCTCCCTCTCTATAACTCTGCCTCTCAAATAAGTAAGTAAATCTTTAAAAAATAAAAGAAGTGACTCCTTGGTATTTCTGTGTATTATTTTCTTTACCGTATTTTACTTGATAAGATCCCAATGGACGGACTTTTATATAGCTTGCATTCTTTTACTAGAATAATCAGGGCTGTAGTAAATGATGTTATGCTTTTCATGGGGATACACCTAGGACAAATTCCCATAATCGAAACTTCTAAGGTAGAGTGAATGGAGCAGGCTTTGGGCACAGTACTTATGTCACCACTTGGGAAACACACATCCCCTAGCAAAGTGCCTGGTTCAAGTCCTGGCTGCTCTACTTCAGGTCCAACTCCCTGTTAATGTGCCTGAGAAAGCAATGGAAGGTAGCCCAAATCCTTGGGCTCTTTCTACCCACATAGGGAACCAAAATGGAGTTCTGGGCCCCTGCTGTTTACAGCTGTTTGGAGCATGAAACAGCAGTTAGAACATCTCTATCTCTCCCTCTCTCTGTCATTCTGCCTTTCAAATAAATAATTTTTTTTTTTTTTTTTACAAAAAGCATTCACATGCCGGAAGTTCCTCTCCAATGGGATCACACTGCCAGGCAGTGGAACTTTTATCTATGGGGGTCCCAGTGCAAGGTCATCACATCACTGGGAGCCTCACCCTCGAAGTGAGGAATGTAGTCCTGGTGGCACCTGGTTAGTTCCCCAGAGAGGGCTTGTTATCAAGAGAGCAAGCCAGGGCCTTGAATCCCTCAGTCTTCCCAGCTGGCCGGGTCTCTCTTCTGCACCTGCTGCCACCACTCTGATACCATCTGCCATGAGCCCTGCACCAGAGGCTGAACAGATGGGGTCACCTGATCCTGCCCTTTCAGCTTCCAACATGAGCCAAAAAACTTCTCATTATACATTTCTCAGCTTCAGGAATTTTTTAATAGCAACAACAAACAGACTGAGACACTTTGTTAATGGTACCTTTATCCATGAAAAAATCATTTTATTTATCAGTCACATTTATCCATCTTTTCTCTTTACGACTGCTGGATTCTGTGAAATCCTTTCAAATGCCTTTTCTACTTTAAGATTGAAAAGGTATCTTCATGTTTACTTTTGGTTATTTCATTTTTTCATTTGTAAAATATTTTAGTACTCAATATATCGAGAATTTTTTTTTTTTTTTTTGCTTTAAAGAGAGAGGTAGAAATTCAACTTCATTTTTTTCCAGGTTATTACCTGAGTCAGTGCCTAAGTAACTACAGCTTCCACATGGCACTGGGAGGCTCTTTGCAAGCTCTCCCCTGAGGCAGCCGTATTAGGCTCTTGCAATGCTTACCATTCCTCTCTGCAATGCTGAATGAATTACGCCAACAGGCAGCTCCAGACGTCTGAGGCTCTCCTCTACCTGTTTACTAGCCATTTCTAAAGATGCAGGGAGTGAGATGATAACTCAGGCCATCCTCCTGATGGGCAGAGACTGTCCACCAGCCAGAGAAAGGATGAAGCCCTCTCCCGCACACCCTCACTGCACCCTGTGCTGGCTGTGCAGGCTGGAGGGGCAGTCACACTGAGACAAGGAGCAGCAGGCTTCCTTTCCCCATGCAACTGAATCCAGCGATGCTGATTCCCAGCCATGTAAGCCAGAGGTCTCAGTGGGTCTGGTGTTCAACTGTCCACCTGTGCTACAAGACGGCAGCAATAGACATGGGATGGGCTTAAAGGATCCAGCAGATGATGAGCATGGCTTCTGGGGTGGGGAAGGAAGGAGCACCTGGAGCCTCAGCTTCTAAAGAGAGAGGCAAGCAAGAAACACGGCCACCCAAAGAGAGAAGGAAGCAGCGGTGTGCAGGTTGTCCCACCTGAGCGATTGCAAACACAGGAGCATCACACACTGATCAACTTTGGAGTCCTTTATTGCCCGAGATCATGCCCCAAAGAACTCTTGACCCCAAGGCTCAAAGAAACAGGGTTTATAAAGGCAAAACCCACAAAGTTGGGGGAGGGGGAATGCATGGTTACTACGGTCAAGCTGACCTAAGGCCTTTGGGAAGTATCAATTACAACCTTGACAACAAATTGCAATGTTAACATTAATCCAGGTGCATCCTATTTGTTTTATGCTTAAGGAATCATACTAGGGAGCTTCTATGCTCTGCCAAGTGGGATGCAGTGAACTATTATTGCCTGAGTACTGCTATTGTCTAGTTTTAGATAATAGTTTCAGACCAGAATATCACAGTGGAGGGGGTGCTTTCTCAAGATGGAATCTCAGGTGCTCGAAAACAGAGTCTCTACTGTCAAGGTGTTACTTCAAGGGTAGCAGGAAAAATATATTCATAAACTGCAGGCTTCAGCTTCTCACTTAAATTAAGAGAAACACAGGGTCTGCAAACCAAGAGACACAGGGACAGGGACCTGGTTAAGAGAAGAAAAGTGTTAACAAATTGCAGAGGAGAAAATCAGTGAAGAGGAAGAAAAGCTCAAGAGCTCATCTCTCAATGCTGAGAAGAATAAAGCTATAAACATACAGCAACTGCTGATGCTGTGGAATGAAGGGTACAGGGTTGGGGGCACTGCACCTGAGGGGTGGGGGCACAGGGCAGATAAGCAGTCATCAGAGAGACAGAGTGCTCTCCAACAGGCAAACAATATTCATGAAAAGGAGCGACAACAAACTCTTCTGGCAAGTCTAAATGTAACAAGAATAAAGAGAATCCCGTATGCATGAATCAGGGGACAAACAGCATGGGGAGGGAGTGGAAGTGGGGGTGGGAGTAGGGGAAATGCAGACTTTCCCTGGATGACCGGTGTCTCCCTGGCAGAACACCAGACTTAAATGCACTGGAGCTGATCCAGAGACAAAGGAAACCAGGAAATCTGGTAGTGAATAATGAGATTCTGTAAGTACAGATTGGTCTAAATATTTGTTGTAGAGCTCAGAGTTGTGGCGCTGTGGGACAAGTCACCACTGGTGATGTCAGCATCCCATATCAGAGTGCTGCTTTGAGTCCTGGCTGCTCAGCTTCTGATCCAGCACCCTGCCAGGGCACCTAAGAAGACAGCAGAAGATGGCTTAAATGTTTGGGTCCCTGCAGGCCACATGGGAGACCCAATGGTGCTCCAGGCTCCTGGCTTCAGCCGGGCTCATTACTGACTGTGCAGCCATTTGGGGAATGACCCAGCAGAAGGGAGCTTGCTTGCTCTCTCTCTCTCACCCTTTCAAATAAGTAGATCTTCAAAAAATTGTTGTAAATATGGTTCTAAGAAATACCAAAATCTATTATTAAACAGGATGGGGGCTGGTGCTATGGTGTAGAGGGTAAAGCTGCTGCCTGCAGTGCCAGCATCCCATATGGGTGCAGGTTCAAGACTTGGCTGCCCCTCTTCCAATCTAGCTCTCTGCTGAAAGGAGCGGCCAAGAGCCGCCATAAAATGGCCTTAATAAAACAGTCCTGGGAAATGGGGAGTAAACTAAGTTCACAGAGAAAGCAGATAGCTACTACCCAGAGATAAGGGCTACTACCCAGAGATAAGGGCGACAGAACATCCTGGTATGCACCTAAGCCCCCTCCCCTGTGCTTGTTCAAGCTTAACAAAGAAACCGTGGGGCACGTAGGGCACGTAGCCATCCCTTTCTGCTCTTCAAGGACAACCTCCCCTTGTCCAAGCTTAGACACGTAGGGCACGTAGCCCCCGTTTCTCCTCCTCCTCGACGACCTCCTCCCATTGTAGTTACCCAATAAACTTACGCCACCCTATGGTATGTTAATTTTGTGGTTTTGCCCCTTAAAAGCTGTGTGAGATAGCTGCTCGGGGCTCCTCTCTCTTGCTCGCTGCTTGCAGCAGTAGAGGGCCCATTTGCACAAATGAAATAAAATTACCTCCTGTTCTATTGCATCGTCTGGTCTGGAGTCTGTGTTTCTGGGGTCGTCACAAGAGGACACTGCTTTTGGGGTTCTACACTGCTGTGACCTGGGAAAGCAGCAGAAGATGGCCCAAGTGCTTGGGCTCCTGCACCCATGTGGGAGACCCAGAAGAACTCCTGGCTCCTGGCTTCAGATAGCTAAACTGCAGCCATTGCAGCCATTTCAGGAGTGAACCAGTGAATAGAAGACCTCTCTCTCTCTCTCATTCTCTCTGCCTCTGCTTCTCTGTTACTCTTTCAAATAAATAAATAAATCTTGAGAAAAAACCAGGAGGTAAAAATGAATAAAACATGATATCATAAAGTTTTTTTGAAGAATATGAAACTTAAGGGAAAGGAAATGTGTGTTCTTATATTTAATTTTTCATGCTGATGATTAAAAGAAACTATAGTAAGGGTTTTTTTTTTAAGTTTTTATTTATTTAATTAAAGTGACAGAGAGAGAGGAAGAGTGAGAGGAAGAGGGAGAGAGAGATTGATTTCCAT